TAATATCAACCTGTTACAATAAAAGCTTAAACTCTGTAAAGCAGTAGGAGTATATTCTGTGTTGACCATTAAAAAATACATACATACTTCCTCTCCACGTTTGGTGTTTTTATTATGTGTGTGTGTGAAAATTGAAAAGCGGGCGTTCTACATGTACACAACTTTATAGATGCGTAAAGTCACATTATTAAAAAGCAATTAAACAGCTTCAACATCATGTGTATGAATGGGATCATGTGCATATGACTTGTAACAAGTGACCTGGTAACACAACCGATGTGTGGAACTTGATTACAAAAATGAAAGGAGACAATGATTAAAATTTTCATTAAAATAAAAAGGGAAATTGTAAATATTTAAGGTTGTTAACATATATGTAAAGTTGCGAATTAAACTTTTAAAGGGTGACAATATAAATTAAGCTATTTTTAGGGGAAAAATTTAAGTATGAGTAAATTTCGGGTTTGGGGCTAAAGATTACATTATCAATTGTATAACCAAACTTAAGAACATGATATTAATTCTTTAGAAAAGCATACTTTGGCCTCTAGATTTAGATTTTTATAAGCACAGATTTTATAAAAAAAAATATCATTGAAAAATCAGTTTAAGTTTTAAAGTTTTTAGATGTAAAAAAATACAACTAAAACTGTTTCCTACGAAAAAATCTACAAAGACACGTTGTTATTAGTTTTCTATTTTTAAATACAGTTTTTTTTCTCTACTTAGTTGCATATTTTTTTGCTTCTTTTTCTGTGTTAAAATCCTCTTGAGTATTGGGTTGACTATAGCAACTTGCTTACAAAGAAATAAATAAATATCAAATAGCGTTTTTCTATAAAATATTGTCTCTTCAAAAAATCAATTGATAAACAGTTTAAGTAGATTAAGTGTTGTTGACTACTACACTTCCTTCAATTAAGTATCCTCTATACATCATACTGGGTTTATCTTGTTGGCTGCCATCACCATCATCATCGTCATCTACACTTTGTATAGAAGTGTAAGTGTATAGTGTTTAATCTACTATTACCCAGTAATTTGTAAAACGAGTCAATGTATACTTTTAAGAAAACATACGTCTTAGAAAGTAGTTACTTAACTCTTCAGAAGTAATCTAATACGAAATCAATAGTCCCTTTGTGAGGTAGTTATAGTCTGTAAAGAAACACTTGATTTTTTAAGAAAACGATTAGTTTAAATTAATCTGCCATTTAATAATTCCCAAGAATTATTTAAATCAGTGAGAAAGTTTCACCGAACTGCAGGGTATTTAGTCTACTACTATTACAATCTTATTTATTGGTTTAATACTTTCAGACAACAAGTACATTTTGTATATATACATTTTTTTTAATATATATTTAATGCTGTAGAATTTGTTCAAGAGTGTGTAAGTATCTGTGTGTTTGTGTATGTTTGTCATCATAGATTTTAGTGTTTATTTAGAAATGTATAATGGAGTTTAAGTTTATTGAGCGTAAAATTGTTTAACGATTAAACTTTGTATGGATAAATTTAAACATGTCATTGAAATTAATTTGTTAGCTTTTAAAGGATATTAACTTTCAATTTTAAATTGGAATAAGAATTTTATTAAATATTTTGTATTTGATATTAATTTTTAGAGAAAAGTAACTTAGAAATGATTAATATATGGAATTCAGGATATTGAATAGCTATTGCAAATAGATCAGAGATATGTATGGCTAGTTTAGTACATTTCAAAGATTTTTGGTTTAATTGTCACTGAACGACTCTTATTTTAGCAAAATGTGGTATTTATATACAAGACTTAGTCCAGAAAATTTGTTCAAATTACATTCGTCATTTCGACCAATAATCCTATCAGAATTTTTTGATAAATGATTTATGAATAAATTCCTTAATATGTAGTTTATTGGTATTCTTGTAAAAAACTCATTAACACAATTTCATCTTTAATTATTCAATTAAACGCTGCTTGAAATATTTCTGTTACTACTTAACTAAATTTAATTAGCTAAGAAAATATTTAATAAAAAGAAAACAGATTCTTCTAATCGTTTAATGTGTTTCTTGTTCAAGTATTACTTATTACAAAAACATGACTGTCAATTCATGGAAACCATGAATGAATTAGTATTATTAGAAAAATAACAAAAAAAACTTGCGGCAAACCTTTCAATGTTTGCTTGTCTAAGCGTACATAATCAGTTGGCAGCAAAAAGTTAAACACACCCACTTATGAATACTACGAAGAAAAAAGAAGAAATAGCCAGAACAACATGGTTTTCATGTAAAAAGTTAAACAACAATAACATAGAACCACAAAACAAAAATATGAAAAAAAAAATACAATAGATTGTAGAAAATGTACTTAGAAATGAAAAGTAAAAATAGGAAAAAAAAAACGACAAAGTCATACAATGAATCACAGAAGTTTCTATACACAGACTTTGTTTTCTTTTTGCACTTGAGTGCTTGGGTTAAGATGACAGTGCAAAAAGGTTGCCAAACAACAGAAATGAAAACATTCATACATATGAGAATGAATGAAATAATAAATAATGTAAAGCAATAAATGACATCAAGATATTAACAAGAACAACAATAGGTAAGTTAGAGCAACAAAAACAAATACTTTCCAGGGCGACAAAACAAATGCTTCAACACGTCAACATACATTAGTGGAGTAATTGATAAGTAGTTTGAAGGAAAATTTTTTATGAATAAACAAATTTGAGGGGATTAGAGAAAAGGAGTACCAATAAGTCTCTGATATAAGTTTTTATTCAACAAGGCCAGTCAAATTTTTTCATACTTCTGTATTGAACAAGTAAGAAGCCTATATTCGCCTTTGCCGAATATTATATACCCTTCACCTTAGTGTGTTTAAGAAAAGATTAAACACACTATTAGATTTGGACCCGGAATATATGTATCTGGGGTCTTCAAAAAATTGGTTTCGACAGACAGATGGGCAGACAGATGGACAGACATACTGACAGACAGACATACTGACAGACAGACAGATGGACGGACAGACAGACAGACAGATGGACGGACAGACAGACAGACAGACAGACAGACAGACAGACAGACAGACAAATAGACAGACAGACATACAAACAGACGGACGGACATGGCTTACTCCGCCACCTATAAGGATCCAGAATATATATACTTTATAGGATAGGAAAATTATATTGTGGAAATCACAAACGGAATGACAAACTTATATCTATATATACCCTTCTCACGAAGGTGAAGGGTATAAAAAATATTCAAAGAGTATCATTTGAGGAACGAAAAGGACCAAGAAGTTCATTCTCAATGATTATCATTCAATCAGGACCGTGTATGTTCAATTTCATATTTCTATATATTTTCATATTTAGATCTTCGTCCAATAAGTACCTTGCTTGTTTTTGCTTAATGATATGGAAAATATTATTGAAAACAGCAACTTTTACAAAAACGAGTACTTTTTAGGATTTGTCTTTTTATAATCCGATCGTTTTTGCATAATGTTATTGATTATTCCATATTATTTGGCTAAGCCATTTACTAATCAATTGAACAGTTCATTAACTATTATATGTACTTATCTATTGACTAATGTATAGAACAGGCTATGGACCAGTATATTAATCAGTCTATATCATTCAAATTATATGAAAATTAGCTCAATGAGTTTGAGATAAATTAAATATTCCATTTCCCCTCTTTTTGTATTTTTCTAGGGACAAGTCGTCAAGTTTATTAATTTTGGATTAGTCTATTGATTATTCTATAGAGTAGACTATTGACTACTATTCTATGAACTATTCTATGAACTTGTCTATTGATTAATCTATGTGCTAATACATTAACTATTTTATGGACTTGTAAATAGATTATTTTGTGGACTAACCTATTGATTATTCTATGGACTTCTATTTACTATTCTGTGAACAAGTCTATTGACTATTCTATGAAATAATCTATTGACTAATCTATGGATTGGTTTATGGACTATTCTATATAATAGCCTATTGAATATTCTATAGACTAGACTACTGATTATTGTATAAACTAGTCTATGGACTATTCTATGAACTAGTCCTTTGACTATTCTATGGAGTCTATTGAGTATTCTATGAATAAGTCTAGTGACCAGTCCATGGAACAGTTTACTGAATTGTAATCTATAGACTAGACTACTGATTATTGTATGAACTAGTCTATGGACTATTCTATGAAGTAGTCTATGGACTATTCTATGAACTAGTCCTTTGACTATTCTATGGTGTCTATTGAGTATTCTATGAATAAGTCTAGTGACCAGTCCATGGAACAGTTTACTGATTATTCTATAGGTTAGTTTATTGATTATTCTCTGAATTGTAATCTATAGACTAGACTAGACTACTGATTATTGTATGAACTAGTCCTTTGACTATTCTATGGAGTCTATTGAGTATTCTATGAACTAGTCTGTTGACTATTCTATGGAGTCTATTAAGTATTCTATGTATAAGTCTAGTGACCAGTCCATGGAACAGTTTACTGATTATTCTATAGGTTAGTTTATTGATTATTCTCTGAATTGTAATCGATGGATTACAATTCAAAAAAACTTAAATTTCCTGTTTTCTGCATTTTTTTTAAACTTCTCCCTACATCGATTAAAGAAAACTTCTATTCCAAAAAAAATATTTTGAATTCAAAAGTTTTTATACTCTCAAAATATTTAACATTTAAGGTCACCACAAAATTTTACAAACTTATCAATTTATGAACCTACAAGGTAAATGTACAATGAAATAGTTTGACTTATTTCTATTTACATGTTTCTATTTTTCAAGGAGTGTTTTGTTAGTTGTACAAACTAAACTAACACAACAAACTTGGGTAGTGATTGTAAAATCCTTTAAGGTTTTAATTTATTAAAACAAATACTTTTATACACACACTCATACAACATTTGTTTGCTTTTTTCTTTACGTCAAGCTGACAGTATATGAATTAATAAATATTTACTTTTGTATACTCTTATTACACAGTCTGGACAAAAAAAAACTCACCTGTTGCTTTGTAATATAAATTGGTTTATTTAAAACCACCCATGTAACAGTTTCATGACAGGCGGGTGCCGTGGTTGAACCATCATACGTCATATAGTGATCAGTGTCCGGTAATAAGCCACGTATGGATAAACGTTTAACAAATGCTTCATCTCCACCATAACGTATACGATCCAAAGAGTCGGTTAACATACGTAATTCGGGATTCGATAAATCACCCAACTGAACAAAAGAGAACAGAAACAGATTTATATGTAAAGTACGTACTTTCATATGTAAAGTGTAAAATTTGCTATAAATATTTCTTACTTAATTTTTAATGTTTTTAAATATTGACATTTTAATTACCTGCAATAGTATCGAAACACCAACAATGCCCTGAGCTCTATTTAATGCATCCGAAAAATTGTTGTATAATTGAGAATTATAACCAAATATTTGTATCTGTAAATTAAAGTAAAATGAAGACAGTAAAAATGAAATCGATTTTATTTTTACAACCTGTAATGTATATTTATTATTATTATTGTTCTTGTTGTTGCTGTTGCCAAATTTACTTGCAACATGTTTAAGCCCTTACAAATGAATAAATCCTTTTTTATTCACCCTTGTCTTGTGTGTGTGTATGTGTTGCTGTTTTACTGCATAAGATGTTTTAATTTATATTGACATTATGTTGAAGTATAAATCCAAATAATATCTTAATATCGGTCTGTACATGTGTAAAAAGTTTTCAATATTGTTTGTATAAATGTTGCTGTTGCTGTTGTATGTTTTTATTTTCTGTATTTGTGTCGATACACAGATACAATGTCAGACTAACGAGGAAATTTTAAATAATCTTGTTTATTTGTAAAGAACAACAGCAAACAACAATAGCAGCAATGAGAAACAGTTGTAGAAATAAAAGTAAAATACAAACAATAAAATATAAATTCCAACGGAAGAAAGTATTTTTTAAAGAATATTTTGAAAAGTTAAAAGTTTTGGGTTTTATCTGCAGACACTTGGTTTGTGAAAAGTATTTCAAAAATTTTAAGTGGCTAAGACTTTTGGAAATGAATAAATAAAAATGAATATGTAAGAAATGTCGTTTTAATTTGCTAAGGTAAATAAATTGGAAAACAAATAGAGTCGATCATGCTCGAACACATGACACCTTACAGTCTATGTTATTAAATTTGTCGGGTTTTAAATAATGGGACGAATTTAATAAAATACTGTTAAAATCTGGACCACTTTTATTTTAATCAATTACATATACATATTGGAAATTGATGCAGTCACTATGGTAAAAATCAGATTTTTCACAAAATAAAATTTTTCAGAAAAAATCAGAAATTTTCTTTAAAAATCCATTTTTCACTTAAAAATTTGACTTTTAACCAAAAATTTAAAAATTTCACTAAAGAACAAATTTCTACTTAAAATCTTATTTTTACTAAAAATCAAAATTTTTACTAAAATTTCAAATTTTCATTAAAAATCCGAATTTTCATAAGAAATACGATTTTTTACTATAAATTCCATTTTTTTTACTAAAATTGTTATTTTTTAAAAATCAAATTTTTCACTAAAAATCCTATTTTCAATAAAAATCCAATTTTTATACCTCCATGACATGTGAATGTCGAAGTGCTTTACATGAACACCTGCCGTGTTGGCATTATTTGACGGTGGTCTTTTTCAATCACTGGGTGAGCTTCTTTGACGATTTACCACCGCCTCTTTGTGTATCTTACTAACAGGTGGCAATTTTTGTACATGGTTGTGCTGGTCCATGTACAAGCATTTGCTCAAGTGCTCGAGCTATCCAATCTCTTACCATAGTAGCCCCGTTTAGGAATGACAGTTATCATGAGTCAAGCTCAATCAAACCTCGGCAAAGCAAAAGGTAATCACTGGTAAGAGCCGATAGAAGGGACGGACCCAACATCAGGTGAAAACACCCTATTGATGCCATGAGGAATGCCCTGTCCCTACAAGCATTTTCATCATATAAAGACTCACCCCAATGCATTCCATGAAAGTTGCCCAACCACACTACTGAGAAGGCTCTGTTGTTTCAGCAACAGCATCTAGGGACGGAATTGGTGGTTCGAAAACACAGATCCATATTTAATTAGTCAGACTTATTTTAGTGGTCACAAGGACCTACTGTGATAAGTTGAGCATGTTTAAGAGTAAACTTCAACACACTCAACCATAAAGTAAAATCGCCGATAAATAAAAGATTAAGGTATTAACAACTCCTCCAAAGTCTCAACCAACTCCATCGCCACTTCAACCGATACTTCATCCGTCATTCCGATATCTCTACAGATTTATCTCAGAATCCTTCTCATCCATCTGATACAAGTATCCGATGGTACATCGCACACCAACACATACCCAATCTTTGCATTATCAGCTCAAATCCAACATGTTATTAATCCACAACCTTGCCCTGTAGTTTGAACAACATATACAGCCGAACATCGCTTAAACGATTTCGCTATCTATAAAGAGTCGGAATATATATATACTTCTTAAGGTCGGAAAATAAAATCTAGAAGCGCCCTGATTGAATGAAAACCTATAAAAAGTGTCTTTCTCGTTTTACAATTGATAAAAATAAAAAAAATTAAAAATAAAAAAATAAAATAAAAATAAATAAAAAATTTATTTAAAAAAATAAAATTCGTACTGACTGGTTTATTAACACACCATGGTGTAGGGTATGTTATATTCGCTACAGCCGAATACAGAACTTTTATTTGTGTACTATAAATCCAATTTACCAAATTTTAACTAAAAATCCAAGTTTTCACAAAAGAATTAATTTTTTTCACTAAAAATTCAATTTTCACTAAAACTTCGAATTTTTACAAAAAATCAAAATTTTCACTTAAAAAACAAATTTTCATTAAAATCTGAATTGTGCAATTTTTTACTAAAAATCCGATGCTTCACTAATTTTTCACTAATATTCTGAATTTTCACTAAAAAGATAATTTTATTAATTGACACAGATACAGAAACGGACGGAGGTTAACAAATTTAGATAGACATTCTTAGATAAATAATACGTCATTCATTCTAAATGAATTCTGCGTTAATCCTATGCTATATACCCGATTTACTTATTTCTTATTAAATATTTTACATTCTATTACCTTGTGCATAATTTTCAAAGAGAATATCCTCTTAAAACCTCTGTAAAATTTTGAGTAATAAAATTACAAAAGGAATAACAACATACGATTGCATGTATATAGATTTATCTGACTACTTATCCCTAAATCATAAGGGCTCTACCACTAATATTTAATTAACACTAGTAATTTTATTTCGATATTCCTGTTTTACTCTCATATCCAATGCACCAACATACTTCTTTTATCTAAATACACTTTTGCAGTTTATACCTTCGTACAAACAACACAATAAGTACACACAGATTGTATTGCATACACAACAGGAGGATAGCCGAGAAAAACAACAAAACAGTAACAAAAAACACTTATGTGGACATAGAACCAATACTTGTTTGGCATAAATTTTACACAATATAATCCCAACTATCAACAAAATGCAGACAAATAACTACCACAAACTATTATGTATGCTTTACATCTACAAATGCATACATGTGTGTAATTTAGCATGTATATTAGGGAGGTTCCATGTCAAGAGAGAATAAATGACTTTATGAGAAAATTTTTAATAAAAAAAAAAAAAAAATTCACTAAAAATAAAAATTTTCATGTAAAATCTCATTTTTTATTAAACCAGTTTTTTCTACAAATATATACCTTGATTTGGCGGTAATCTATCTAAAAATCCCTTAATTTGTGTGCATTTATTTAATTGAAATCTAAATGACAAATTAATTTTTAACTTGACCGCCCTAATGTCAACACACATGCAAATTAGTAACAAAACCAAAGAGTAAAGTTTTGGTTTACATACTATACATATGTATGCAAACATGTAAGAGTAACTATTTGTGTAATATTTTGGGAATAAGAACAAAAACAATAGAAAGAACAGCAGCTTTAACAGAAAAAGAAACTTGCATCAGAATTACAAAATCCATAACAACACAAATACCAAAAATAACAAGAACAACTGCAAATACAACAGCAAATAACAGGCGGAAACAGAATATAAAGTAAATTATTGTGTGTGTGTGTAAGAATACTTAAATTTGTGTATGTTAACAAGGATCTGATTCGAATAAAAATTTTTCGAATAATCAATGTAAGATTAATTCGAATAAATTCTAAAAAAAATAATCGCAAAACTTTATGAAAAATTTTTCTTTTTCTGGAAATGTTTAACTTGGAATAATGGGTTATTTGTTTACCAAATTTTTTTTAAAGTATTGAACTACCCATTCGGTTATCAAATCGTAAAGCTAAAAGCTAATTTAAAAATACGAATAACTGCCAACTCTTAGACTTATGTATTATTTATGTATATGTATTTTTCGATTATTTTTGCACCTATGCTTATGGTTATGTTTCCAATATACATGTAGATACATGTAAAAGTCCTTATTTCTAGGTCCAGTGTATACATGTACTTATGTATATGTATTTCATTTAAAAAGAAAAAGTGCATTTTTCGAGTCACCTACTTATTTGCTTGATTGTTTGCCTCTGACAACCAGTATATGGATAAGAATAAAAAATCTGTGTACGATAAGTTGTACCATAATTTTTATTGTTTACTAGAAAGACTTTCAACAGGAGGGATATGGAAATAATGTTTAAATAGAAAATCTACATAAAAGTCTATATAAAAATATTTTATTCATCATAGTTTTTATTGTCTATCTTACAAGAAAAAAAAATATATTATTATTTTCGTAGGAATATTTATTTTAAAAACAAATGGGAATATTTAAATACAATGCATTTTGCAATTGATTGCAAAATATATATGTATTTTAGTATAAAATTTAAAATTTTTATGATTTCCATTTTAAATATTTTTTATTTTAAGAATTAAATAATAGTTTGGGGTTTGAAGCAATTAGGTTTTGTTTTTAATTATTAACTTTTATTGGTTTTATGATTAAGTTAAATAAGGACATTCTAGTGCTTGGATATTCTATATAAAAAACTTTTTAATTTTTTAGATATGTAGATGAAAAGTAGCTGATGTTCGCACCGAAAATTAAAATTTAGTTAGATAGTTAGTTAGTTAGTTAGTTAGTTAGTTAGTTAGTTAGTTAGTTAGTTAGTTAGTTAGTTAGTTAGTTAGTTAGTTAGTTAGTTAGTTAGTAGTTAGTTAGTTAGTTAGTTAGTTAGTTAGTTAGTTAGTTAGTAGTTAGTTAGTTAGTTAGTTAGTTAGTTAGTTAGTTAGTTAGTTAGTTAGTTAGTTAGTAGTTAGTAGTTAGTTAGTTAGTTAGTAGTAGTTAGTTCGTTAGTTAGTTAGTTAGTTAGTTAGTTAGTAGT